ATGGTCTTGATCGCCTGACCTTGTGATCCACCCTCCTCGGCCTCCCAAAGTGCCGGGATTATAGACGTGAGCCACCACGCCCGGCCGTGAAAGTGTTTTAAGAGTCTAGATTTTGGCCAGGCATGGTGGCTCCCACCTGTAATCCCAGCACTTTGGGAGGCTGAGGCGGACAGATCACCTGAGGTCAGTAGTTTGAGACCAGCCTGACAAACATGGTAAAACCCCATCTCTACTAAACTACAAAAATTAGCCGGGTGTGGTGGTGCGCACCTGTAGTCCCAGGCACTCAGCAGGCTAAGCCGGGAGAACCATTTGAACCTGGGAGGCAGAGGTTGCAGTGAGCTGAGATCAGACGACTGCACTCCAGCCTGGGTGACACAGTGAGATTCCGTCAAAAAAAAAAAAAAAAAAAGATTCTAGGTCTTATGCGTTTAAGAAAACAGGGACATGTGACTGTTACAGAGGGTAAAAAAACAGAACACACAAGGACAATGGTTTTAAAAGCGCAGTCTACTTCAAAAAATAGGATGTGATGTCTCTCTGACATTGACATGCTTTATGGGGTGCAAAGCAATAAGAAAATTATTTGGGAGGGGGCGCATCATCTCTCCACTTAAACTCACAGTCAAACTTAGAAAAAAGTTCCATTGTTTACGTACTGCATTACTTAAATAAAAGATGAAAACGGGCCGGGCGCGGTGGCTCACGCCTGTAATCCCAGGACTTTGGAAGAGCGAGGCGGGTGGATCACTTGAGGTGAGTTTGAGACCAGCCTGGCCAACATGGTGAAACCCCCTCTCTACTAAAAATACAAAAAAAATTAGCTGGGCGTGGTGATACATGCCTGTAATCCCAGTTACTCTGGAGGCTCGGCCACGAGAATCGTTTGAACCCGGGAAGCCGAGGTTGCAGTGAGCCAAGGTTGTGCCACTGCATTCCAGCCTGGGCAACAGAGTGAGACCCTGTCTCAAAAAAAAAAGGGGGGGGAAGGGACAATGTATCAAGTGTTTGCACCGAGCATACAGAAACACAGGGTTTTCCAAGTTTTTATTTACTTAAGGACAATCCTTACGCTGGGCACAGTGGCTCATGCCTGTAATCCCAGCACTTTGGGAGGCCGAGGCGGGTAGACCACAAGATCAGGAGATTAAGACCATCCCAGACAACAGGGTGAAACACCGTCTCTACTAAAAATACAAAAATTAGCTGGGTGTGGTGGTGCGCACCTGTAATCCCAGCTCCCAGAAGGCGGAGACTGCGATGAGCCGAGATTGCACCTCTGCACTCCAGCCTGGCGACAGAGCGAGACTCCGTCCCAAAAATTAAAAAATAGGACAGTCCTTTAAGAAGTTAATATTCGCCCTCAGAGACTAGGTTTCTGAATATTTGTATGAACCAACACCTTTTCTTCCAACTCCAACTGAAACAGGTACAAAGAGCACAAGACAGAATAATCAAAAATAGATGGTGACAACTTCTCGATTGTGATGCATCTGAATTGAGACCTCTGGGTCATAAAGAATTTCTACCACTGATAAAGTAATCATTTCAAACTGTTACTTTTTCACGAAAGAAAAAACTTGATGTTTATTCGCAGCAAAAATTGACGGTAAATTCCACAGCAAATAGAGCCACTGAGTACTCACGTACACACAGTAAAAACACTTTCTACTCAACTATGGAGTTTTCTGCTTTTAAAAGTCCTGCCAGTGGATATTCACAATGATTTTCTCACCATTATACAATCTCTTTCAGCAAAATAAAGAGGGTCTGGGGTCATGTCTTTACTTTTTATCTATAAGAAGTTGAAGAAAGTCAACACAAATCTAGAATATGAAAATAGTACCTCATGGTGACTGTGGAATCGAGGCAGGCATCAGCTCATATCCTGCCAGAAGCTGGGCAAACATTTTTAACAGCCTGGCTGTGAGGTCATGACGATGACCTCACAAACAGGAATTCTGATGTTAGTCGGCCTCTGGGCTCAAACCTCACCACTTTAAACAAAACCAGAGGGTTCCGTATCCCTGAATCTGGAGCTGATGACTCAAGAAATGTCCTTCCTCCTAAGAAATAATCCTCCCATCTGAGATTAGCAGTATCTAATCTGTTTTCTCCACTGCTGACCAGCATCAGCAACACAGGTAAGCAGAGAAAAGCACGTCCACCTAAATAGCTGAACACCAGTCATGTACGCATATCTGTATTACCTGCAAACTTCCAGTACGCAAGTTTTTCTTTTGGTTCGGATCCAAACACTTTTTCTTAGTGTTCTTTACTGGAAAATTGGGCTACATTTAAGAATCCCAGCCAGGCACGGTGGTTCACGCCTGTAATCCCAGCACTTTGGGAGGCCAAGGCGGGCGGATCATGAGGTCAAGAGATCGAGACAACCCTGGCCAACATGGTGAAACCCCGTCTCTACTAAACATACAAAAATTAGCTGAGCATGGTGGTGCGCACTTGTAGTCCCAGCTACTCAGGAGGCTGAGGCAGGAGAATTGCTTGAACCTTGGAGGTGGAGATTGCAGTGAGCCGATACTGCACCACTGCATTCCTGCCTGGAGACAGAGCAAGACTTCATCTCAAAAAAAAAAAAAATCCTGATAACTGAGTAGGAAATAAATCATAAACTTAAAATGTTACCCTTGCCAGTCGGGCGCGGTGGCTCACGCCTGTAATCCCAGCACTTTGGGAGGCCAAGGCAGGCAGATCACGAGGTCAGGAGATTGAGACCATCTTGGCTAACACGGTGAAACCCCGTCTCTACTAAAAACACAAAAAATTAGCTGGGAATGGTGGCGGGCGCCTGTAGTCCCAGCTACTCGGGAGGCTGAAGCAGGAGAATGGCGTGAATCCAGGAGGCGGAGGTTGCAGTGAGCCGAGATTGCGCCACTGCACTCCAGCCTGGGTGACAAAGCGAGACTCCGTCTCAAGAAAAAAAAAAATATGTTTTTAAAACACACAAGTTTGGCCAGGCATGGTGGCTCACATCTATAATCCCAGCATTTTGGGAGGCCAAGGCAGGAGGATTACTTAAGTCCAAGAGTCTGAGAGTTGCCTGGGCAACATAGTGAAACCTCATCTCTAAAAAAAATTTTTTTTAATTAGCTGGGCATGGTGGCGCCTGCCTAGAATCCCAGCTACTTGGGAGACTGAGGCAGAAGGATCGCCTGAGCCCAGGAGATT